TGCCCGGCGCTCCCAGAGCGCTGGGATTACAGGTCCGGCCTTCCTTAAAAATAATCGGCAGAGCGGACGGGCCAGGGGCCTCTGAGCCGGACGACGAAGGAAACTGGCGCACCGCAGGCCCCCTCCGCTCCGGGTACCGACCCCACAGGGCAGGTCCTAGTCCAGGGAGGGTTCCGGCGGGCTCAGCCCGGGGGGCACCGCTCACAGGCAGCGATCCGCGTGGCTGCCGGCAGTGGAGACCCAGGCCAGTGTGCTGGGCTGGGGGTTCCACCACCGCCCCCCGCAGAGCCCCAGGGCGGGTGTGGGCGCCGGGTAGGGGCTGGGGTCGCTGTCGGCCGGGGTCCCGGCTCCCGGTGGAGCCGCCCCCATCCGCGGTCTCTCCGGGGCCTGAGTCTCTCGCCGGCCTGGGGACTCCCGTAGCGGAGGGCGCAGGGATGGGGCGTCGGCTCCACCCGCGTTCGCGTCCCCGCCCTCCCCGTTCCGCCCTCGGGCACCCAAGGCCCCCCCGCCTCCGCCCCCCGCCCCTTCCCTCCGGACCCGGGAGAGGCCCTGTGCACCCGGAGGCCCAGCTCAGCCGGGCGTCTTCCCCGCGGGCGGGAGCTGGACGCAGGTCCTGGGGAGGCGCGCGGTGCCGGGGTCCTCCGGGGAGCGGGGTCCCAGCAGGGAGCTCGTGCGCAGAGAGGGGCCGCCACCCCGTCCAGGCGGGCTCCACCCCAGAAGAGGCCGCGGGGAGGTGGCCCCGGGCGCGGGCTGAGGGCTCGGACCCCCGAGACGCGGGGCCGTCAGGGCGGGGAGGAGCCCGAACCCCCGCGCGCCGTCCCTGGGGCCGGACGCAGCCGTCGCCTTCCCGAGACTCGGGGTCGCCGCCGCGGGCCCAGCGACTTCCAGACTGGGGGCTTCGGGACGCGCTCACCTGGTCCCGAGGAGCCTCCGGTCAGGACGGCCCGGGGCGCGGGCGCGAGGAAGCAGGAGGGAGGGCACCGGGCCGCGGCCACCCCTTTATACCCGCCCCGCCCGCCGGCCCGGCCCGGCCCGACCCGACACCAGGAGGCGCTGCGGCCCCGCGGATGGGACGGGCGGGGCGGGGCGGGGCGGGGGGGGGGCCCCGCGGGGCGGGAGGGGGATGGGAGCGAGGGAGGCCGGGGCGGGAAGAGGCGGAGCGGCGGGGACCCCTCGGCAGCCAGGGCCAAGTCCCCTCCCCAGCCCCTGCCCGCCGCGGGCGCCGCTCGGACTTCACGTCCCGCCCCCTTTCCCGGGCGACCTGGCTGGGCTGTGTCACCTCCGGGGCTCTGGGTGTTGGGGACCGCGCCCCCGACGCCGGGCGGAGGGGGCCCTCGGACTCGCCCCTCGGTAGGAGCTGCCCTGGGGTTGCAGGCCTCCTCCTGCACCCCGTGTGGCCCCCGGCGAGAGGCCCCGGGTCAACAGCCGCTGCAGAAACTTCGGCTCTGGGGGCCTGGGACGGGGGAGCCCGGGCGGCAGGGACAGCGGAGTCTGGGCCGGGTTCGGGCAGGGCCGTGGCATGCGGTGACCACTCCTGCCGGCCTTTTCCACAGGGGTCCTGTGCTGGGCCCCGGGACCACCGTGAGGTCCCCACATGAGCCCGGCAGGGGACAGTGAGAGCGGTCCCTGGCAGGGCTGTGTCTGGAATCCCCACTCCCCGCCCTGGTCACAGCCCCGCAGCCGGGCCACGGCTCCTCCTGGAGGGGAGGTGCAGGCTGGGCTGTGGAGACCACCCTGGGCTCTGGGGCCGGGCCCCTTTCAGAGCTGTCCCGGAAGGGGGCGGAGCAGCGGGGGTGAGGCCCCTCTTCGGACAAGCAGGTTTGCAAACGGCTGCTTTAGCCCCTTCCCGGGAGGAGAGGGTCCCTGAGCTGCCCGGTGGCCCTCGGCCCTGTGCGGATGCCCTCTGGTCAGGGCCCTCTCTCTCTGCCCCTGAGGACTGGCCCTGTCTCATCTGTCTCCTTTCCTGGTGGATGGTAGGGTGGCTGGGGTGGGGGTCTGTGGCGATGTCTTGTGCTCCCAGTGTGTCCAGGGTGTGGGGAACTTCCCAGTGTAGGGAGGGGAAAGCCACCGTCCACCGGAGGGCCGGGAGCTCGTCCCCAAATGCCCCTGCCTGCCGTCTGCAGGGCCTGCAAGGTCCACTTGGGCCCCCTGGGAGCTAATGGCCTCCAGTCTGTCCTGGTGTCTGGACTCAGGCTAGACCACCTTACAGCTCATGTCAGCTGTGCCTGCACCACCTTTTACGGCCCACACCTCCCACGGCAGCATCAGGTACATCTGTCCTCTGCCACCCCCAGCGGGCCCTTGAGTGGGTGGTGGTGTCTAGAGCCAGGGGTGTGAAAGGACAGGTGGTGTGAGTGTGCAAGTGAGTGTGTGTCCTGTGTGAGTGTGAGCGTGTGGTGTGCTGTGTGTCTGCATCTGAGTGCAAGTGTGTGTGCATCTGTGAATGTGAGTGGTGTGTGGTGTGTGTCTGAGACTGAGTAAAAGTGTGTGGTGTGTGTCTGCATCTGAGTGTGTGTATGCATCTGTGAGTGTGTGTGGTGTGTGTCTGAGACTGAGTACAAGTGTGTGGTGTGTGCCTGCATCTGAGTGTGAGTGTGTGCATCTGTGAGTGTGTGTGGTGTGTGGTGTGTCTGCATCTGAGTGTGTGTGTGTGCATCTGTGAGTGTGTGGTGTGGTGTGTGTCTGCATCTGAGTGTGTATGTGCATCTGTGAACGTGTGGTGTGGTGTGTGTCTGCATCTGTGAGTGTGTGTGCATCTGTGAACGTGTGGTGTGGTGTGTGTCTGCATCTGTGA